CCAAGATAGAACTTTTGCAGGACTATGTGACATTATTTCAAGAATGAGATGAAAATAGAATCTTTAATATGCATGGAATGCATTTTCTGAACGTGAAATTGCTGTTCTTTCCGAAAGGGCGAATTAGTTATTTGACGATGAAAGATCGTATGATTTTGGCATATATTGATCTGATCTAATATCTGATCTATGATGATTTTTGAAAAGAGGATCAATTAGGTTTAATATTTGCTTTTTCAGAAGTGGATATCGGAATGTTTCCAAGGAGAATCATCATTCTAGTCAAAAGGGTTTCCGATCTGCAGAAACTTTACCGCAAATTGTAGTGTTGTAAGATATCAAATGGTCGGCCCCGATCGACTGTAACCTTTGCTTACTTGTTCTCATATAACGGTACTTTTCGATATTCGATTTTTAAGGTTCCACTCAGTCACAGACTTAAACAAAATGGTCTGGACTTTGGTGACAACGGTTAGAGGAGAGGAGATTTCGAGAGGGGAGAGGGAAGTGGGTTTCGATTCGATTTTTAAGGTTCCACTCAGTCACAGACTTAAACCAAACGGTCTGGACTTTGGTGGTAACGGTTAAATGTTAAGCAATGCCGAAATGAGGATAAGATATCGAATTAATTTAAGTGGGAGTCGATCTGAGGGTCTGTTTAACTGCAGCTTTCCTTTGAAGCGAACCAACATTAGAAAGCGATTTTGAATATCTCACAGTGCAATTTCAAGGCCCTAACGATGAAGTTCTTAATGTTATCATGAAGTGGTGTCACAAACCGCACATTTTAACAATTTTTGGCTATTCTCAAGAATAGTCCATTATGAAAATCATTTTCGCATCGTAAGTCGGGTTGGAACTGACGAAAATCGGCGAATAAATGACAAAAAGTGTTCCCACCTAATGTACAGAGCAACATGATTGTCTAATATCGCCGAACATGACTTAATAAATAGCCTATTTTTAGGAGTTCTGTGTTTTGACTTTGCCTAGCTGGGTTAGTTACGTAAATGGCAGCTATGTAGCTATATTTGTTGCTGTTGCTGCTGTTGGTGTGAAAATGTCGTGTTTCACAGTCATTTATGTCACTTGCAACACAAGGCGACAAACTGAACCGCCAGCCACCGTAGCCACCGCATATCCACAGGGGATGGGGTAGAGATGGAATTGGAGAGAAACGCCGACATGAGGACATTTATTAAACCATTCAGGACGGAACGATTTTGCCGGCTGGCAATGTGTGTTCCGGCATTATAGCTGGCATTTAATAAACATGTCCATCTTAATTCGTGGTCATAATTTGTAGTGGCCATTACGGGCAATTTGAGCGATGAAAACAGGGGTTTGACCAATATTTAGGCTAAACTAATTTGTTTATTAGTTTACATGGGTTTTTGTTGTTGTTGTTGACGATGATGTTGTTTTTGTTTTTCTTTTGCTTTGCTGTGTATGCCAACTAGTGGCTGGTCGGCCGGTCATCCAAAACGACTTGTGCGCGCAAACCGAAAGGTGTGCCATGTCACCCGCCCAGAACATTTGCTCTGTTACAAATTAGAACTTTATCAATTACTTACAACTTCATTTTGATTTGGTTCGGAAGGGCCGGCCAAACTGATTAAAATGACAGGACCATAAAGAAAACTCCAAAATAACCTCAGAAAACTTTCGGACGTTCTCCACACTGAACAGTCGACGTGGGAACTTCAGAAGGTGGGAGCTTCTGTGCCAGTGTGAGTGTGTGTGTGTGCGTGCGTGTGTGTGGTGACTTTGAAGTCAAACATTTATAGCAATTCGCCGGTAGGGAACTGCCTTAACAGCCTGACCAACTTCGGTGACTATCTCTTCCGGATGCAACAGGGGAAGAGGAGTATCATCAGCTTTTTAACTTCAGTACATCATTCAATTTATCAAAGTTTTCCCCTTTTTCTTTTTGGTTGGGAAATAGTTTTTTGTTGTTTTCCTTGGTTTGCAGTCGTCGGAGCAATATCAGTTGTCAACTATTTTGTTGGTTGGCATTGCTGGATGTCCAGGCCTGATGGGCCGAGTAGCAAATGGGGAGCAGAGGTGACGAGTTCACAACAAAGTGAAGCGTAAAGCGACAACGACCAAAGAATGCTGGAGTGGCAAAGTAATAAAATCCTAAATTAAGACAAATTCCTTTTCAACCTTTTGACTTTGGAACGGACGTCTGCTGCTAAATGGTGACAGGGGTCAATGTGGCTGCTATCTGTCTCAGAGCCGGTCGCTTCTAGTGTATTATTTTGTATCTGGTGCCATTATCAATTACGGCTACAAGCAAATAGCCGTAGTCAGTCCTCCCTTTTGCTGTATTTCGGACTCTTACGAATAAAATTAATGGACACTGACCAGATATGCAGTATTTACTCGCAGAATAGATTAAACGAGAACTGAAGGAAGAAAGTTTACCTGTTTTTTGTTCTTGTTCCAATGTGACGTTGCTATTGTGCAACGAATTTGAAGAAAGACAAACTGATATCTAATGACCCTGTGTTTCAGTTGAGTCGGAGTAAGATAAATGTTTTTTTTTTGCCAACCAATCAATTAAGTCCTATGGGCAGTGGGTTATATGGACCGACTTTGAGTATCGATGAACATGCTGCTTATTTTCGAATGCGAATAGACTTGCAACTGATGCGGTTCTCTACAAAGGCTATGACTTCTTCCAAATAATGTCGCCCTAGGCCGACTCTTTGATACACTTGAAGATAGGCTCCAGTAAGCGAGATAATAGAGTTCATCCTTGTTCCAAACAAATGTTATCCTTAGTGAACGTGAATTGCCAGACGGACCTTGGATTAAAGAACACATCGACAGAGGGACATGCATTAGGCGACTGCTCTGGAGGCCATAAAAAAGGTAACTATGGACCTTTGTCGCCTTTGTTTTCGTGCTACAAAACAACTACATGAAGACACATTTAATCCCTTTTGCCGCGGGGCAGCTTTGTAGGGTGTTAAAATAATTGTCGAAATTGGCTTGGGGCTTCTTTCCTTTTTCGTAGCTACAACTCTGATACCGCCTCTCTTGATTCTGACTATAAACTTTTATTCCCTCTGATGTTCGGAAATGTTGTCTCCTTTGAAGTTCAAAGTTCTATCTCGACTTTTTTGTAGGTGGATACTTTTATCATAAGTTTTTTACGAGACATGATAAAGTTTGTATTGAACCCTAGCGGGTTTTGCGCCAAGTTTTATGTGTGTTGGTCTATGAATATATATTAAGACAAGATTTCTTTCAGTTTATACTCAGACTCAGACCTGATCGCAACAGAAAAAACATCTCCAATACCGAACGAAAGAAAGCTGTTTTCAATCACAGATTGTTCTGTGTTAAATTTTGTTTTGCCATGCAAATTTCCATCGCTGCTAGCTGCTGCGGAGGATTCCAATCCAATTTTCTGAAGGTTTGATAAATTGACGCCTCCTACACTTGGTCGTATCAACCTCAATCATTGAAGCGCTTTGAAGGTTGTGTGTTGCCAAAGCAAATCCGTGCAGTTTTTTTTTTGATTCCTTTGTTTCCTGTTTGGTTATGATGATGTCCTTATTTATTCAAAATCCTTTTGAAGTTTTAATCAAATCCAAATCAAATTTACACTCTGTTCCCGTGTTATCTTTTTCGGATGCTTCACACTTCAATTCGTTTTACTTTCACTTGTGTGTGTGTTTCGTTGTTTGTGCGACTTCCCTTTGTGTTCGCAATACTTTTCGTCCGAAAATTGAATTAAAAATTGAAACACCAACCAGCAATAACAATGGAAGAAATCCTTTTTGCCAAGTCCAAAAAAAAAAAACACAAAACAATACAAAAAAAGAAAATAAAAAAGCAAAGCAAAACAAACAGCCAACGACAAATCTAATGTTTTTTTCCGTTTTTTTTTTTTGCGGTTAGATGTTGAAAGTCCGTTTTTTATTTATATCTTTCTCGCTTCAATGCCAACCGGACAGACAATCGTATATTCCCTCTTGCCATCAACTTCTCAACACTGTGTGGAAGTTTTCAATTAAATGCTGTAGTTTCAAAGTGGAAATAACGATGTCGTTACTGCCTCAGCAGTCTTTTAAATAACAATTATCCTGAGTTTTGTGAGAACAAGAAATACTTAAAATGATCGAAACTTACGCACCATGTAGGAGCCATAAGGTCCTATCTCTAACACTTCTATTTAATCAGTTACTGGTCGTATGTTTGGTCTCTACAGCTACCACTTAGTCCTCACTGGAAGATGGTTGTTCGCCGAAACCTTTCAGAATGGAACTTAATGTTATAAGTTTTATGTGAAATTCGCTTTTGCGTTCAAAAGATTAATTCCCAATTTTTTATGAGTGTTTTTACACCATTGCATTGTTTTCCACTTTATTTTCTTCCAATTCCTACACTGTGTCAAGGTGGAAAGCGTGAAAATTGGACAAACTCGAGTATTGGAATAAGACTGTCGGAGGCTGTTTTAAGGATATATCCTTTAATACATTAAAGGATTTTATTTGAAGAAATCCTTTGTAAATAATGAAGAAAAAATAAAACGAATACCGAGGAAACGGAAAAGCAAAGGATGGAATAAAAATTTAATTATAACCGAAATTTCCATGACAATAACGAAAGGCACATCAGAACAAACTGGTGTAGCAGCATAAAATACATAAATATGAATTGTTGCCGTTGTTGTTGTTGTTGGCATGTTGTGGACGAAAACATCTGGGTGCCGGCTAGAAAAGGACGCAGCCACTGCATGGATACGAGACTGAACTAAAATCTATGCAAATAGTGACATATCCTTTAAAATTAAAGAAATAAAGGGTCCATTGAATTTATCCGAGCAAAAAGATGACCACGTTGTGCATGGATCGTGTTGGGGGCACTCGAAAATGTCTTTGCGTACGTACGTACGTACATATGCATAAGCAAAAGAAATTGTGACGTTAACTGTTTTGAGCAAAACAAACAAGGATCTCTGCCTTCCGATTGCCTTCCCCAGCAACCTCATTTGCTTCGCCGTCTAAGTTCGCCAAAAAAGTCGACCACAAAAATTGTATTAAATGCTGGGCAATAAAATTTGTTGGTCGTTCTTTATTTGCTCTGGTGGTGTTAGCCTAAAAGTGAAAAAAGAGGAAACGAATGCTCATTCGAACGCGACGCTTTTCCTGTCTCTGCTTACCTGAGCTCCAGCCAATGGAGCCAGCCACATTGCTCCGTGGATTTGCAAAGCAATTATACGTTTCGCATCAACATGCTGTAATTAAATTTTATAACATTTTCGGTGCAAATTATTTGTGCAGCTGCAAGCGGAGCGCGCCATTTGCAGCAGGGTGGCTGGGTTAGTTTTTGGGAGTTGCGTTCGGTGCCCGGAATGAATGTTGCAAAATGGACGCAAATAAACTGCACTAAAATAAATTATTTAACTAAACTTCATTTTTCATTTCGCTAAGTACCGACTAAATGCTCTGGGCAAGCGTAAAAAGTGCTCCAAAGAAATGAAATAACTTTCCAACGAATTTATCATTATCTGCTTCGGCCAAAGGACATTACGCAAGCCAACGTTTAGGGGGAAGAGGACGCAGGATTGCAGTTTCTGCTGTTGCTGTTTAAGGCTATTCTCTCATTTTCAGTTGTGATAGGTGTAATGTAAATATAGAAAGGTGTAATGTAAATATAGAAAGAGTGGACCGATATTAATCCCTCAAAAGTAGATATAAGAAATTAATGCACATCCTAATATTTTTATACCCTCCACCAAAAAAGTATGGAGTGTATATTAAGTTCGTCATTCCGTTTGTAACTCATCGAAATAATCATTTTAGACCCAACAAAGTATATATATTCTTGATCAGCGTAAAATTCTAAGACGATTTAGCCCTGTCCGTCCGTTCGTCCGTCTGTCCGTCTGTTGTAATAACGCTACAGTCTAAACGAATTAAGATAGGAAGCTAAAATTTTGCACAGATCTCTCTTTTGTCTGCAGGCAGGTCAAGTTCGAAGATGGGCTATATCGGCCCACGATATAGTATAGCCCCCATATAACGGTACCCCCGATATTCGGTATTTGGATGATGTTAGCCACATTTTTCAACGCAATTGTCTGAAAATCCACACAAGGAGTTCCTTGTGGGTACTTTATACCTCGGCAGAGAATTATCTATATAGGTCCACGATATCGTATAGCGCCCATATAACGGTACCCCACGGTATTCGGTATTTTTATGATTTTACCCACATTTTTCAATGGAATTGTTTTAAAATCGACACAAGTAGTTCCTTGTGAGGGCTTTACCCCCTGAGAGAGAATTGTCTATACAGGTCCACGATATCGTATATCCCCCATATAACGGTACCCCCCGATATTCGGTATTTTTATGATTTTACCCACATTTTTCCATCGGAATTGTCTGAAAATCCACACAAGGTGTACCTTGTGGGTACGTTATACCTCGGCAGAGAATTATCTATATAGGTCCACGATATCTTATAGTCCTCATATAACGGTACCCCCGATATTCGGTATTTTGATGTTTTTAGCCATATTTTTCAAAGGAATGGTCACAAGGGTTTCTTTGTACACAAGGGGTTCTTTGTGAGCACTTTACCCCCCGGCAGAGAATTCTCTATATAGGTTAACGATAACGTATAGCTCCCATATAACAGTACCCCGCGATATTCGGTATTTTGATAATTTGAGCCACATTTTCCAATCGTATTGTCAAAAAATACACACACGGAGTTCTTTGTGAGCACTTTACCCCTGAAACGGAATTGTCTATATAGGTCCGCAATATTGTATATCCCCCATATAACGGTACTCCCCTATATTCGGTATTTTGATGATTTTAGCCACTTTTTCCAATGGAATTATCTAAAAAACCAAACAAGGAGTTCCTTGTAAGTACTTTACACGCAGACATAGATTTGTCTTTATAGGTCCACAATATCGTATATCCCCCCATATATCGGCACCTTCCTTTATTAGATATTTTAAATATTTTAAAAGAATTTTTAATGGATTTTATCATTTTTTTTTAAATTTTTTTTAATTTGTACCAAATGGTGGAGGGTATTCAATTTTAATAGATCGAATCTTTCTCCAATATCCCCCAAAAAGCTCAAAATTTTCCAAAAATATGTGGAAGTATTTCAAATGAAGGGAGGAAGCAGTCGATTATGGCACGTTGCCATAATTATATCCAACTTAGATCATATATGAAATAGAAAAATATTGGCCCACTACCTACCATCCCAATAAAGGGATATATTTCGAAATATCTGTCGACATAACCGACAGGTACTTTATAAAACGTTTTCTTTTTGGCAAATTGATTTTTTCAGTCTTTCCTGAAAGACCTTTGGCCTTTGGATGCATGTATAGAAAACGTTGGATTTGAATTTTATGTTGCATGGTCGCCACTTTTTTTTAATGAAGGACTTTTGTTAACAAATGCTATTGATTTGTATCATCAAGCTCATTCGGTAATACATCAAAATACAACATCTGGTGGCCAAATACACTTCCTCTTGCTCCACTGAGCAGTTAATGAATACGATTTCGCGTCACATTTTTAGGTTTGGAATTGCAGCAAGGCCTCTAGTCTTTGGTGTTTACCTATGAAAGCGGTTTATAAATCACAAGTCAAGCGATTTATTGGAGGGGGAGAGAGAGAGAGAGAGAGAGTAAGAGAAAAAAAAACAACTTCAAACTTATTTAAATTTCCAAAATTATTCCATTTATTTCTGCCACATGTTCCTCGCATTCCCCGGGGCTTAGACGCACCCACTCTTGCCAGGACGAAATGGGAAATCATTTCTTCATGTTGTAGGGTGAATTTATTAAAATTTCTTTGTCAACAAATCTCTTTAGAGTTCAAATGCAAATAGCAGCGGCTGCAGCACCTCACTCCTGCTTCAGTTTCCCCTCCGCAAAGTACAGGCAAGTGTGAATCGTGCCACCTCATACATTCATACCGACACACACACGCACGCATATTTCAGGACGAAACGACGATTTAAAAGCTAATGTTGAGGGCGCTCAACAGAATTGAATTGTAGATGAACAAATCCTTCTCCATGAATCACACCAAGCCGCAGTAGTGAAAGTGAAAATCCATTCGGGAGGAGCTGGGGAACAGGGTCGATCCAACCATTCAGAACTAAGATTAAATGCCACCCAACCAATGTTGTAAACGTGGCAAACAAATCTGTTCATTTTCCCACCAAAGTGATTTCGCATTTGTGTTGCGTTGTCGCCGTTGCCGCTGCTGTTGATAAATCTGGCATCATTTCCATTTCGCCTGTCGCTCTTTGTGCCTGGAAAATTGAAAATATATTTCATTTTTATAAATTACAACTGCTTTGCGTTACACAAACAACCTGTTTATTATGTTGACGGAAGAGCGATTCGCAAATATTAATTTCATATTCCATGGCGGGGAATCAGATTCATTTACCTGGCAGTGCGTGATTGAGTTCCCAGCCCCTGGATGCTGTGACAGTACGGAGAGACGGAGTGGAGTGGAGTTGCCGTCGACTCGAAGCTATTAACGCTATCTATACCGTTATTTGTTATTTTGTGATAGAGAATTACCTAATTTTACAAATAAATTACTTATTCCAACACCCTCGCCAGAGTACCACCCCGCCAGCTGACGTAGAACTCTGTATGTCTGTATGTATGTCATTGCTATGACAAACGTAGATTGGAGGGGGAATATTCCATTGTGATAATCGAAGGAAGTTCATTGGAACATTCACATTGGGTTAGGTTAAAAACAAAGTCGATATTATTTTAATAGGGTTTTCTCAATCGGAAAAGTTCAGTATATTTCGTATCAAAAAAGTGTGTCTGGGTGTGAGGAGCTTGTTTTGAATTATTTAGGTTTTCGTTAGAAAAGTATCTTTAATTAATACGTCGTTATATCACTAACTTAGATTAGTAAACCGGGTCTGTAGTAAATGTCAAATCACAAGGCACCTGTCACATAGCTAACGAAACAATGGTTCAATGTCCGAGACCTGTGATTTGACACCGTTGAACGTATTTTTTTGGTGATAATTTTCAAGAATAGGTGCACGTCAATAAGCCAGCACCAAATTAAAGGGCCCAAAACCTGAGCTGTTGCTATGAAATAGCCGTTGAGGAAATACCAGGTAAATTGGATTAAAAGGGTAAGTACCCCGGGAATGTACACAAAAGCTGAGTTTGAACAAATTTAGGTTACTTGACCTCCTTTTAAAATGAATTCAGCCATTGAAAGTAGTCCTTTAAATATTTGGGTAAGTACTAAACTATTTTCGAGAAAAACTAATTCAGTTTTTTTTTTCGTTATTTTGTAACAATATTGGTTTATATACAGTGGTTTCTATTTACCTGCATCAACACTAGCTGCGCATTGGCCTTTGCGGACCAAAAAACTTTTTTTATGCCATTTTTTCTGAATCCCTTTATTTGAATTGTGTTTAAGTGCCCAATCGATAGCTGCACATTGGACATTCCTGCCTCGAAAATTTGGTAATTTTTTTTAATTTGGTTACAAGAGTTGTATTTATCTGCACAAGAAAATTTATTGCAAAAGACACTAAAAACTACCACTTCGTTTTTGTTTTTGTATTCGCAAAAACAATAACAACACAAGAAAAGAGCATGCATTAAAAACATATTCTCGCTTCCTCTCCCACACTAAAAGATGGTTATGCTGTATAAAACACCACTGATGCTCAAATACATATGGCTATTAACCGTACGTAAGTAAAATAAAGATTGCTGCTTTGTTGTACACGAATAGAAAATTAAAGATACCTGCACTTTTTGTGCACGTAAGTAAAATTAAAGATACCTGCTTCATTGTGCAGATAAATTCAATGAGGCTACCTGCATTTTGGGCATTGCTGCACAAGATGTCGTGCAATTTTTGATTGTGCAGGTAAGCAAAAAATGCTGTATAGTACTAGCTGACCCGCACCGCGTTGCTGGTGCTGGCTGCTGGGTATTTGTGTTTTTTATATATTTTTGGGAACATACTATAAGTTGTAAACGTTTACCTTTTCTCTTTGAAAAAGCCCAAACATTGATAATGATGTTGGCTTACAACGGCAGTCAATCTACAAATTTGCCAGTTTCCACTGTTTAAGCTTATTCGTATTTTCTTTGTTAAGGCATATACACTGGCATATATATTTTTGATTTTTCGTCCTCGATAGTAA